ATATATATATATATGTACGTATATATATATGTATATATATGTATATATATACATATATATATGTACGTATATATACATGATAATATATATACACATACGTGATAATATATTTACACAATATATGGCTTATAATCTATCAGAGAATCGTCCGAAATACGAGTCTCTCGAAAATTGGAGATACGGCATTATATCCTCCAAAGGAGTGCGTGTATTTACGTTTCGTAAAATAATAAAGATGTAGCAAAAAATAACTACATCAAACACGTACTTTTATAATGTAGCACGAAAAATGCTGATAAATTACCATTCGGTATATTATCGATATTTTTAGTTTCGTGCTACTCCGTGTAAATGGGCGCGCAGCACCGTCTTACATCGATTTTCCAATAAAATCTCCTAAATCTGTATTATCGACCTTAATTGAGTTCCGCCGTTGCTTTAGCATCCCCTTAATGTTACATTGTATTACATGACATGTTTCATAACTGTGTCGTCATCAGACGTTTTAAATTCGCAGAGCAAAAACGCAGTGAAACAGTCAGTATTAAACGGTATAAAAGATGCAGTGAAATATTCTTATAAATATATGTATTAGGTGTACAACTTTGCTTCCACCGTTTTTCTATAGACGGCTTTAGCGGTAAGTGGTGGTCGAAATAAATACCAGGTATGTAAATATGAAACCGGAATTTTTTAATAGAATATACACGTATATTGCATGAAAATGATAAAAAATATTTCATTCGAAGTATTGCCCATCGCTAGCTATACATTATTCCCAACTGTCTGACAATTTGTGGATACCACGCCAAAAAAATTGTTGCTCTTTTGAGCCAAACCAGTCATCTAGCCATTTTCGTACATCTTCGTAAGAAGTGAAGCGCTGCTGACCAAGTGCGTGCTCCATCGATGCAAATAAGTAGTAATCGGACGGAGCCAAGTCTGGTGAGTAAGCCGCATGCGAAAGTATTTCCCAACCAAACGCCTCAATCGTTTCCTTGACCAGTTTTGCTGTGTGTGATGGTGCATTATCAGCAAATCACTTTGTATTGCCTTTTTTGATATTCCGGTCTCATATTTACATACCTGGTAGATCATAGACGTCATACAATAAACTTGGGCATCTGTCAACATAACCCCGTAGAAACATTAGTCGATTTGTGTCTGCATCATAAAGTTACTCTCGATTGAAAATGTCAGTTTACGAGCCAAATTCTCGTTATTTGCGGGAGGTTTTAATTTTCTGCTTCAATATGAAGAAATCTGCGGCTGAGGCTCATCGAATGCTCTCAAATACTTATGGTGAAGCCGCTATTAGTGAAGGAACGTGTCGTGATTGGTTTCAACGCTTCAAGAACGGTGATTTCGACGTCGAAGACCGGCATAGTGGTGGAAGAGAGAAGGTTTGCGAAGATGCAGAATTGGGAGGCATTACTTGATCAAGACTCGAGTCAAAATCAAGAAGAATTGGCACGATCATTGGGAGCGACTCAACAAGCGCCTCAAAGCCATGGGAATGATTCAGAAGCTAGGAAATTGGGTGCCGTACGAGTTGAAGCCGAGAGATGTTGAACGGCGTTTGTTTGCTTGTGAACAGCTGCCTGAAAGGCAAAGACGGGAGGGATTTCTGCATCGCATTATGACTGGGGATGAAAAATAGGTTCATGACGATAACCCCAAGCGCAGAAAATCATGGGGAGTTCCCGGCTATGTTTCAACGTCGACGGCCAAATCGAATATTCACGACTCCAAGGTCATGCTCTGTATTTGGTGGGACCAGCTCGGCGTAGTGTATTATGAGCTGTTAAAACCGACTGAAACAATCACAGGCGATTGGTATCGAACGCAATTGATGCGTTTGAACCGAGCATTGAAAGACAAACGGCCGCAATACAACGAGAGACACGACAAAGTGATTTTGCAGCATGACAATACTCGACCCCATGTTGTGAAAGTGGTCAAGACATACTTAGAAACGTTGAAATGGGAAGTCCTACCCCACCCGCCGTATTCTCTAGACGTTACTCCCTTTGACTATCACTTGTTTCGATGAATGGTACACGGCCTGGCTGACCAGCACTTCCGGTCTTATGAAGAAGTAAAAAATTGGATTCATTCGTGAATCGCCTCAAAAGATGACCAGTTTTTTCGACGCGGGTTTCGTACGCTGTATTTATACCATTTAATACTGACTTTTTCATTGTATATTTATTTGCGAATTTAAAACCTCTGATGATGGCACAATTATGATGCCAAAACATGTCACGTAACACAAAGTATTTACCGATATAGTTTATTTATCTTCTCTCTCTCTCTCTCTCTCTCTCTCTCTCTCTCTCTCTCTCTTTCTTCAAAATAGTTGGAAATAATACTTAATAAATTTTTTGTTAGGTGCGGTGTATATTCTGGAGTTACCCTACTGAGCTGTGGACTACTCATAAATAAAGATTGCACAGCTTTTATATGAAGCAAATGTTGTCATGACATAACAGCTGTGAAGTGTCATATTGGATTAAGAAATGATAAAGAAGAACTCAATTTAGAAATGTTTTGTCATTCTTAGCATACGAAGACAAATCAATAAGTACCCGTGTTAATAATGAAGACGCAAACTTGTCACAAAAATTTTTTTTATTTTTAATAAAACCATAAATTATATATTACAGGCAATAGGAGTCGACGCTGGTTATCGGTTAGCGCAATTTTATCTT